CTGCTGGATCCCAATTATTGTCACGTTAACCAAGTTTGCCTGTTTGGATTGCTCACGCAATATTGTCAATATAATGAAACTATATACAATTGTCATACAAGTGGGAGGTTAAGCGAGCTATAAAACCACATTAACGCCATTGTTTTCTTCGGAAAATGCCTATACCAAGTCAAGAATATGTCAGTTGCTGTCAGGTCTTTCCATTTGTTAATAAAGTCGAGAATTTGGTTTTTGTCAGTTTTTACGGACTTCACCTTTTTGATTTTACCGTGGAGTTCGATATTTAGGTTAGTACATTCTTTGTATCTTATAATCTTAAAGCATGATTTTATTGACAACGAAAATCTTAGTTATCTTTATTGGTATTTGCAAACTACTGTTTATTTACAATACTACATGGAACAATTTGTTTCGACATAGGTATGTATTTGTTTGTTAATGCCTGGTTATGGTATACGTTGGTGGATGTTCTGTTCTTATTTTTACGTAATTGGTTTAATCAATATTCAACACATCTGCAGTCATTAACGGTTTCTATCGTCAGATTGTTTTCCAATAAGAAAAGGCTGTATAAACATGAACTAGTAATCATGATCACTTCGTCTTTTTATACCTACAGCAGACACGTTTGGTTTCCGGATTCTGTAAAAACGAATAAAAGTAAACTATGAACATCAAAATTATTTATTTTGTAAACATATTTCCTTTCTCCTTTTAAAATGTATACCTAACAACAAAATTATTTTCATTTACCTGTGTATGATATTATTGTAAATGGCGGATTTTTGTTTAAGGTTATTGTTGTTTTTCTAAAATTGTTTAACATTTCACAGCGGTATAATACTGTTACTTTAATTATTCATCCCTTTTTTTATTGATGTTGTATTTACATCATATCGTAGATCAAATTTATTCGTTCAGTGTATGTTCACTTGTGTTAATATGTCTTTTGATTGAGTTGAGCCATTTCAATTGGTATTTTATTGTGTATCTTTCTATGTTATGATGTTACACTATTGTTTCAGATAAGGGTGAAGGTTTGGTACCATTAAAACGTTAAAATCCGCTGCAATTGTTTGCACCTGTCCTAAGTCAGGAATCTGATGTTCTGTAGTTGTCGTTTGTTGATGTGGTTCATAAGTGTTTCTCGTTTCTCGTTTTTTATATAGATTATACCGTTGGTTTTCCTGTTTGAATGGTTTTACCCTAGTAATTTTTGGGGCCCTTTGTAGCTTGCTGTGCAGTGTGAGCCAAGGCTCCGTGTTGAAGACCGTACTTTGACCTATAATGGTTTATTTTTATAAATTGTGACTTGGATGGACAGTTGTCTCGTTGGCACTCATACCACATCTTCTTATATCTATGTAACCTTCATATCTAAGTTTTGTATATCTAATAGTATTTAATTAATTATATATGTGATGTACTTTTACTTTAATAACTACAGTATATCATTAAGGTTCGTATATTCCAACGTATGTTCGTATTAGCTTTGAACATGTTATCATTTCTATTCATTTTATGACTGCGACTTTGTTTGACACATACATATTATAGCTGTTGAAAATACAAACGGAGAATAGTCCAATTAATACAAGAAAATACAAGTTCAATATTTGGCTTTCAAATATTCGGCTTTGAGCGTTCTTGGTCAAGGAAAATCAAGAAATTCGCATCGGACGTATGAACATTTAGAAAGTATCGCTTTCCCTTTTTTCTTACTGTACATAAGGTTTGAAACACAACTTAAGTTAATAAAGAAAAATGATGTTAAAGTAAATACATAGTCTTATCTTTATGAATATAAGATGTGATATGATTTCCAATGAGAGAACTTTCAACTACATTACAAATGTCGTAGATGTTAGCAGATTGTTGGTTATTGCAATATTATTTTCACAGCTTTAACTATATCTTATCATATTTCGATTGCCTTGACTGAGACCTCTTTCTTGAAATCTGCCCGTAATGATATCAACTGTTATACTATGAGTGTGATAAATTTACCATGATATTGTTCGTGTATTTATTTTGTTGGAATATAAAGCTTCGTTCAGTGATATTGGTTATACCATGGCGACCAGTTTTTGTTGGTGGAGGAAGCTGGAGTAAACAGACAGAACAACCGACTTTCTGGAAAACTGGCAATCTTTGTCAATTGAAAAGGAATTCGAATACACATCACCATGAACTAACCCGAATAATTCAGTCGTTATATTCCACTGCTCTACGATGGCTACATTAACGCCTGAAGGCCTTGTCAATAAAAAAATGTCGAATAATCATTCGGAATTAGCTCGGGATTTACCTATCTAGATAACATTGAGCTATTAGCTGATTGGCTCTCTCACCCAGAGGGCACCAAACAAAATCCTGGATTCGTGACGCGTTTTTATCGTATAAAGAATTCAGGCCCTCGCGAGTGGGCGAGTCGATCACGGGGAGGGACTGAATTATTCGGGTTAACCATGAACATGTTTTTTTTATGTACAAAAGTTATTCACTCAATCCACATGTACAGTTTCATAAAAAAATGTAATGTATAAAAACGGTTTTAATATTCATTAACTTCTCGAATTGTTAGCGAATGTTTTGTTTTGTGCTCTAATCATTTGTATGACATGGTTGTGTTATACATCTGTAGGATAATACGAACATTGCAAATTTTTTATTTCAGTATTTTGGTTCTCCCTTACTCGCAGCTGCTAGAGGTGGATTTATCAACATAGTTAAATTGTTATTAGAAAGAGCAGATATAGATCCAAATAAACAAACTGAGGTACGGGATGACGTTCTTTACAGTATTGTCCAACTTTGTTAAATCTTCCATCAAAGAGGAATAATACAAATAAAAAAGGCTATAAATAGATTGGTGGGATAGTATCATTGGGACATCAGAAAAAAGAAGTTAAATGATGTTAAAATTACACATATCATGATATATATGGAAAGACATAAAATGTGATATTATTGCCAATGAGACAACTTTTAACTACGTAACAAATGTCGTAGATGTTAGCAGATTGTTTGTTTTTTGCAATATTATTTTGACAGCTTTAACTTTATCTTATCTTATTTCGATAGCATTGACTGAGATCTCTTTCTTGAAATCTGCTCGTAATGATACCAACTGTTATACTATGAGTGTGATACAAATAACCATGATATTTTTCGTGTATTTGTTTTGTTGGAATATAAAGCTTCATTCAGTGATATTGGTTAGACCATCGCGACCAGGTTTTTGTTGGTGGAGGAAGTTGGAATAAACACACAGAACAACAGAACTTCTGAAAAACATTCAAACTTGTCAATGTAAATGGGATTCGATTACACATCACTATGAACATGTTTTATGTACACAAGTTATTATCTTAACCCACATTTACAGTTTCAATAAAATGCGATTAACAAAAACGGTTTGAAATTCATTTATTCTCGAAATGTTGGAATCTGCCCGTAATGATATCAACTGTTATACTATGAGTGTGATAAATTAACCATGATATTTTTCGTGTATTTATTTTGTTGGAATATAAAGCTTCGTTCAGTGATATTGGTTATACCATGGCGACCAGTTTTTGTTGGTGGAGGAAGCTGGAGTAAACAGACAGAACAACCGACTTTCTGGAAAACTGGCAATCTTTGTCAATTGAAAAGGAATTCGAATACACATCACCATGAACTAACCCGAATAATTCAGTCGTTATATTCCACTGCTCTACGATGGCTACATTAACGCCTGAAGGCCTTGTCAATAAAAAAATGTCGAATAATCATTCGGAATTAGCTCGGGATTTACCTATCTAGATAACATTGAGCTATTAGCTGATTGGCTCTCTCACCCAGAGGGCACCAAACAAAATCCTGGATTCGTGACGCGTTTTTATCGTATAAAGAATTCAGGCCCTCGCGAGTGGTCGAGTCGATCACGGGGAGGGACTGAATTATTCGGGTTAACCATGAACATGTTTTTTTTATGTACAAAAGTTATTCACTCAATCCACATGCACAGTTTCATAAAAAAATGTAATGTATAAAAACGGTTTTAATATTCATAAACTTCTCGAATTGTTAGCCAATGTTTTGTTTTGTGCTTTAATCATTTGTATGACATGGTTGTGTTATACCTCTGTAGAATAATACGAACATTGCAAACTTTTTATTTCAGTATTTTGGTACTCCCTTACTCGCAGCTGCTAGAGGTGGATTTACCAACATAGTTAAATTGTTATTAGAAAGAGCAGATATAGATCCAAATAAACAAACTGAGGTACGGGATGACGTTCTTTACAGTATTGTCCAACTTTGTTAAATCTTCCATCAAAGAGGAATAATACAAATAAAAAAGGCTATAAATAGATTGGTGGGATAGTATCATTGGGACATCAGAAAAAAGAAGTTAAATGATGTTAAAATTACACATATCATGATATATATGGAAAGACATAAAATGTGATATTATTGCCAATGAGACAACTTTTAACTACGTAACAAATGTCGTAGATGTTAGCAGATTGTTTGTTTTTTGCAATATTATTTTGACATTTTTAACTTTATCTTATCTTATTTCGATAGCATTGACTGAGATCTCTTTCTTGAAATCTGCCCGTAATGATACCAACTGTTATACTATGAGTGTGATACAAATAACCGTGATATTTTTCGTGTATTTGTTTTGTTGGAATATAAAGCTTCGTTAAGTGATATTGGTTATACCATGGCGACCAGTTTTTTGTTGGTGGAGGAAGTTGGAATAAACACACAGAACAACAGAACTTCTGGAAAACAGGCAAATTTGTCAATGTAAATTGGATTCGATTACACAAATTTACAGTTTCAATAAAATGTGATTAACAAAAACGGTTTGAAATTCATTAACTTCTTGAAATGTTGGCAAATGTAATTTTTTGTACTGTAATCATTTGTATGAATTGTTTTTGTTAGCTTTCATCATGTTCGTATGATGCAATGAGCAGTGCAAGCTTTTTAATTTCAGTTTAGTGGTGATACTCCCTTACATTTAGCTGCTAATGGTGGAAATCTCGACATAGTGCAATTGTTATTAGAAAGAGCAGATATAGATCCAAATAGAGAAAATGAGGTACGAGTTGACGTTTTGTACATAATTGTCAAACTTTGTTGAATCTTTCATCAAAATCAATGTCAACATAATTTTGCTCATTAAATTTATACACATCTTGGCAAAATACTTTAATCTTCAGAGTGAAAAAAGCGTTATGTATCCAAAATATTCGAAATGCCAAGACATACTTAATCCCAAATCATTGAGATTTTATAGGAATCAAAGATAAATAATCAATTAAGATTCGATTTACTGTTAATAAATTTGAGAATGGAAATGGGGAATATTTCAAAGAGACAACAACTCGACCAAAGAGCAGATAGCAGCCGAAGTCTGTTTTTATGATATCCATTTGACGTGACTCTGTACTTATGTATCCCGTCAAACTTTGAACGACAAAATTATTTCGTTTTATTAATATTACTTTTAATGTTAAGTCTGTTTTTTTGTGATATCCATTTGACGTGACTCTGTACTTATGTATCCCGTCATACTTTGAACGACAACATTATTTTATTTTATTAATATTACTTTTACTGTTAAGTCTTTTTTTTGTGATATCCATTTGACGTGACTCTGTACTTATGTATCCAGTCATACTTTGAACGACAAAATTATTTTATTTTATTAATATTACTTTTACTGTTAAGTCATTTTTTGTGTGATATCCATTTGACGTGACTCTGTACTTATGTATCCCGTTATACTTTGAACTACAAAATTAATTTATATCTACCTGTGTGACGTCAAACGCGCGATGCTACACCAGTACTTAAAAACCTTCCATCCTTTATGGGTGGATTACCGACCGTGCAAGGGCTGTATAGCCAGTCAAGGTCGTTAAAAACTTCTATTTGTTGTTGGGTGGATTTTACACAGATAAATAAAATCGTATAATAAAAAAGCAAAATGAGGATGTTAAATTTGATGTATGTCTCTTTGTGCTTCTTTGTTACATTTGGTTGTTTTTATAGTGATTAAGATGATAACACAATGTTGACTGCTGTACCCCTATTTTTGACATTTTTACCTATTGTGTCTGTTTGTTTTGTTCACGCATCGTTGTCAATATAATGGAATTTGGTGCGACTGTCATACAAGTGAGAGGTTTGGCTAGCTATAAAACCAGGTTCAATCCACCATTTTCTACATAAAAAAAAGTCTGTAAGTTTATTTTGTATTCCAATTGCACAGATACATTAAAACAAGGATTTGTCATTCATTAACGCATGTATATACAACCACTAACTATTTGAATAAAGTCTGAAAACGGGAATCCTTGATGAATGTAGATGTAGTATTATTACAAAAAAAAATTTACTCAGTTAATTATATTCACCCTGAGGCCGATTATAATCCATTCCATGCTGTATAATCAACTGTTTTTTAAACCCGAAGAATATATGGTTTTTTTTTGTACCATATAAAACAGCATATGATTGACCGAGTCTGATTTAAATCAAGCAATTTTGCTAAATTTATTTTTAAATAAAAAGATTTAACCCATTTACCAATGATATATATATATTTCAAAGTGTTGTATTTATCGAATGTTTAATCTAAATTGTTGATGCTTTCCAGGAAATGAAATATGTTAGTCTGATGACAAAATTATATGACCTAGGTGATTTATTGTTTTACATCTTGAAAATTTCATTTACATTACACAATTTTCCTTAATTCACATGTTGAACTACTGCTAATTGATATCATAAAATCTAATTCTTATAAGAATTGTTCTTTCTAAATGTCATTTTACATCCATCACTTGTAGAATAAAAATTAGAAATCATTCTATGCTGTATAATCAAATGCTTTTTAAACCTGATGAGATTAGATTTTATGATATAATTAGACTTATACCTAAGACTTATATGGTTTATAATATCGAACACTTTATACGCTTTTAAATCTGACACTGTTTAACGGAACCCTAAAGCTTTACTTTGTAAGAGTTATTTTCCCGAACACCGTTTTCTTGTTCGGACTACTCCTTCGCAACCGTAAAAGATAACGACAAATTTATTTTACCAAATTGCTCGTTATATCCTAAGGGTATGGAGAATAATTTTGACCGTAGAGATCCGGAGACTCCATATGAGAGTTATTTCCCTTATGCATTTGATATAAGTGATATGCATTTGTAACCGGTAAACCATCAGTGATAAGTAAGTAAGTAAGTAAGTAGGCAAATTTTATTTCAAGTCGGCATATATATATACATAATAGCAGATACAATAGGAGCTCTGGTGAGCTCTTTAACCGACTATCATATAAAAATCATGCACCTTCATGTAAATACTAATAAATAAAAAAAAAAAAAAAAAAAAAAATGCAAATATAATGAAAGCAAATTAATTTTGATTTCTGAATCTCCAGGGTCACTGCCCATGCGTCAAACGCCTCTATGTGCATTGAATGAGGGAACCAGCAATCACTTAAATATCATAAAATACTAAAAGACTAAAAAGCATAAATAAATTAATTAATTAAGCACTGTCATTTAATAGCAGCTATATACCAGTGCATAGAAAAGCAGAGCAAAAGGCCAGACAAGAAAAACAAAAGAAATTTCAGCTATGAGGCAGCACTGGATGGAAACGGCATGAACTGCAGTTGTATTTTTGACCCAACACCAGCAATTTATATAATTCCTAAATTGGTCAAAAGAGATCATAGTTCTAGCCTCATTGGGAAGGGAATCCATTCTTGTGCTGCCTCTGAATGTATTCTGAATTGTTTTATATAACAACTAGATCTTGAATAAATAAGACATTTTTTATTAATTATTTTAAAGATCTCCAAGGCATTTGAGCGTATTCTACTAGTTTTTAGTAAAGGAAGGTTTGAAATCTGCAGTAGTGTTTCGAACGAGTTCTGATGGTATTCTTAAAGAAAAACAAAGCGCTCGATCTTTTATTTTTTTCTATTTTTATTGTATTTTGTTCCCCACAGAAATGCCAAGTCAAAGGACAGTAACTAAAGTTTGACATAACGAATGAGTGAAAAAATTCAATTTTACTCAGTTTGTTTAGGTGTTTCCTAATTCTTTTCAAAACGTTTAATTGCCTTGCAGCCTTTTTACAAATATTTGAAATAGGTAAATTGAAATTAAATTTAAAATCAATTGTATTAAAAAATTGCTGTCTTCCTCAAGTGGATAAATTACATCTTGTACGGAATTTCCAGACGTTGACAAAGTATTGTCATCAGCATAAGTATATAAAGAACATTTTTTTAACAAAAAAGAACAAATCATTTATAAAAATTTTAAATAAGGTGGGTCCAAGGATGGAACCTTTTGGTACTCCTTCAAATATGCCAAGCATACCTCTTAAATTTTCGTTTAATTTCACACACTGTTTTCTTTTTGTTAAATAACTATGTAACATATCAAGTGAGGATTTTGAATGACCATAAGCTTTTAGTTTAAGTAGCAGTAAGTCATGGGGGAAACAGTCAAAAGCAAGGTATTTATTTTGGTCCATGATTAATTTCCAATCTTCAATCACTCTTATAAAAGTTGACTGACATCCAAAGCCTGATCTAAAAGCTGCCAAAAAATGGATTGAAGATATTATCAAAGTACTGTATTAATTGTACTTCTATGGCATTTTCTAAAATTTTAGAAATGGCCAGTAACATACTTTCCAGTCTGTACTTTCCTTTTTCTAATACACTATTCTTTTTGTAAACAGGTGAAACTTGAGCTTTATTAAGATGCTCAGGGAAGGTTGATGACGATAATGATAAATTAACTATATCTGTAAGAGGTTTTACAATAGCAGGTTTAGCAAAATGTAGTAATTTGGGTGACATACCATCTATTCCAGTGGCTTTTTTTACCGATAATTTTACGTAAACGTTCCTCAACAAAGTCTTGATCAATAGGGGAAAAGGTAAAACTGTTTTTGGCCAAGATCGTAAAGATTATGTTTAATGGTAAAAATACTCGGGTGAACATCATCAACTTTCATTTGATTGCTTCCATTAATCTTGTCATACTTTAAAAATTATTGTTATCTTGTTTTGTAATTAAAACATTATTTTCAGAGAGGACAGTTTCTTTTTGGTGTACATTACCTTTATTTGTAAGAAAAGGTTGCACTGTTGACCATAAATCTTTAGATTTAGGGCCCCCAGCACAAGATATTGGTTAATAGACTTATTTATTTAGTTTTGTAACATAGTTGCGTTTTTGTCTATATGCTTCCCAGTTCTTAATGCCACTGAATTATTTATTCTATAAATGGCACTTTTAAGCTCTGTATTCATATGCGGTACCTGATTTGGAAATATGTTTCTTTCCTTCAAAGGTGCATGTGTGTCACTACCTCAATGACACGTTTACTAAAATGATCATATGCTGCATTTACATTATCAAATTCAGATGTATCAAAATTCTGATTTTCTAAATCTTTTAAAAAATTTGATGCATCAACATTCTTAAAACTACTGCATATCTTCTTTTTGGTAAAATGTTTGGTAAATCACATTTTAGCTGCACAGATATAAAGTTGTGCACATCACTAATTCCTGTACCAAAATTACATAGATATAAGAAGATGTTGTATGAGTGCCAATGAGACAACTCACCATCCATGTCACATTTGGTAAAAGTAAACCATTATAGGTCAAAGTACGGCCTTCAATGCGGAGCCTTGGCTCACACCGAACAGCAAGCTATAAAGGGCCCCAAAAATGACTAGTGTAAAACCATTCAAAAAGGAAACCCAACGGTCTAATCTATATAAAAAAAAAAACAAAAAAAACGAGAAACACTAATAAACCACATCAACAAACGACAACCACTGAACATTAGGTTCCTGACTTAGAACAGGTGCAAACAAATGCAGCAGGTTTAAACGTTTTAATAGGCGCAAACGTTTACACTAACCTGAACAAATAGTGTAACATCACAACATAGAAAGACACACTGTAAAATATCAATTGAAATGGCTTAACTTAATCAAAAGACATATCAACAAAAACAAGTGAACATACACTGAACGATTATT